TTCCAATTTGAGATTGTCCAACGTTCAATTGTACAATTTTCAAATGGTCGTATTTGAAAATACCCAATTTGTTTTATTGCAATTGGAAAATTTGCGGGTTTAACATTTGAATTTTTTCAATGTGCAATTGTTCTTTCTGCAATTGTTTTATTTGCAATTGTCCAATTTCAAATTAAATAGTTTGCACTTGTTCAATTTTTAATTGGCCAAATTTTTAGTGTCCAATTTGCAATTATCCTTTTATAAATTATCCAATATAAGATTGTTAATTTCAAACTAATTTGCAATTGTTTTATTTGAAATTGTTCAATTTTAAAATGACTATAAAACAATTGCTCAGTTTTATTTTATCTAATTTGTGAAACTCCAATTTTCAATTTTACAATTTGCAATTGCCCATTCTTCATTTGTCAAATTTTCCATTTTCCAAACTGCAATTGCCCAATTTGCAATTGTCTTAATTGCAATTCTCCAATTTGGAATTGCTAAATGTCTCAAGTGCCCAATTTGAAATCGTCCAATTTCCAATGGTCCATTTTTTAAATTTTGGAACTTCCCAATTAGTCTTATTTGCAATTGTTAAATTTGCAGGAGTCCAATATGCAGGTGAAAAGTTGGAATTTGTTCTTTTTGCAATTGTTTAGTTTGCAATTGTTCAATTTTAAATTGAAAAGTTAACATTTGTTCCAATTTTTAACTGAAAATTTGACCCGATTTCAATTGTTCAATTTTCAAATTGAAAAATTTGTAATTTTTTATAATATTGGATTGTTTAGGTTTCTATTTTGCAAATTTCAATAACATAATTCACAATTTTCCAAATTATAATTGTTCAATTGGCAATGGTCTAAATTGAAATTCTCCAATTTGAAACTGCCAAAATTTAAAGTGTCCAATGTGCAGAGGTATATTTTGAATTTGATCAATTTGAAATTTATTTTTTTGCATGTTTTAATAAAAAAAAGTTATGGTTATATTGCTTAATTACGTGTTCTGGGTAAAATCCAAACCGTTTGTGGAACGGTTAAATCATTTGGGTCCTCATTCGTTTATAGTTTTTTTGTTAGGGTGGTTCAGTTTGCAACTGTCCAATTTGAGGTTGCCCAATGTTCAATTGTTCAATTCTTAAATCGTCCAATTCGTGACAGTCCAATTTGAAAATGCCCAATTTGTGATTGATTAATTTGTTTTGCAATTGTTCAGTTGAATTTTGCAGCAGTCCAATATGCGGGTTTTACATTTAAATTTGTTCAATTTGATATTGTTCTTTTTGTAATGGCTATTTTAAGTTGGCCAAATTTTTACTGTCCAATTTGCAATTATCCAATTTTAACAATTTTAAAGTCCAATATGCGATTGTACAACTAGAGTTTTCAATTGCATTATTTGCAATCGTCATTTTTAATTGAATAGATAACAATTGTCCAGTTTTAGTTTGAAAAATTTATGATAGTTCAATTTTCGAATTTTTCATTTTGAAATTGACCATTTTTCACTTGTCAAATTTGCCATTTTCCAAACACCAATTATTCAACTTGGAATTGAAAAAAAATTTCAATTGTCTAAATTGCAATTCTACAATTTATCTTAATTGCAATTGTCGAAATTTCAAGTGTCCACTTTGCAAGGGCACAATTTGCAATTGTCCAATTTTAAATCGTCCAATTTTAAATCGTCCAATTTTCAACTGTTCATTTTTTAAATGGACAATTTGCAATTTTGAATTGTCTTATGTATCCAATTAACGATTGTCAAATTTGTCCAAATTGCTAGTGTCCAATTAGTCAATGATCAATTTTCAATTAATTAATTTGTAAACAACATTGCTGGTGTCCAATTTGCAGGTATACAATTTGAGTTTGTTAAATCTGTAATTTATGAACTTACAATGATTAAGTTTGAAACTGTCCAATTTGAAATTGAACAGTTTGCACTTGATAAATTATTAAATGTCTGATTTGTGGTTATCCAATTGGTGATTGCCCAATTTTCTTTTGTTCAATTTGCAAATTGTCCAATTTGGAAGTGTACAATTCGTCTTATTTGCAATTCAAAAATTCTCCGGAGTTCAATATAGAGGTGAACAATTTGATTTTTTTTTAATTTTTATATTAACTAGAAGGTGCCAGTATCAGTTTAGGCGATTGCTTATGCAGGAACATGATAGTTTGGGTTTTGCAAGCATTGATTTTGATTTTTCAAGTTTTTGCACACTCAGCAAAGGTGTTAAGGCATCGTTGTAGTTTGTTTGTTATTTCGCGAGGCATTCTGCCCTTGACTGATATCGCGGTATCATCTCCGAACAGAAAGAACACGCAACCGTCTCCGAGGGGAGGAATGTCAGAAGTATACAAGCTGTAGAGCAAGGGGCCCAACAAACTACCTTGTGGAATGCCTGCCGGGATGGAAAATTTGTCGGAGAGGCAACCATTCAACGATACCTTGAACGACCTTTGCTGAAGGTAGTTACGGGTAATTTTGACCAAATGCAACGGTAAATTGAAGTTACAAAGCTTGAATATAAGTCCGTCATGCCAGACATTGTCAAACGCCTTTTCGACGTCTAGCAAGGCCATGGCTGTGGACGTGGATACAGCCTTGTTACTTCGGATGTGGTTCATTACCCGTACAAGCTGATGAGTGGTGGAGTGCCCCTTCCTGAACCCAAACTGTTCCGGTAGGAGAATATTGTTTTCCTCCACAAACTTGAGCAATCTATTGAGAATGAGTTTGCTCAGCGCTGAGAGGGCTGATCAGTCTGTAGCTTGACAGCAATGTTGGATCTTTACCGGGTTTGCGGATTGGTATTAATTTTGCTATCTTCTAAATGCTTGGAAAGTAGTGCAGCTCCAAGCATCTGTTTGATGTGAAACTAATTTCTTGTTTGCTGTGCATCCTGAATAGAATTTCATAGTTATATAAGTAATTGTAAATGGCACATGAGATGAAAATTTAAGAATATCAATCTTTTGATCTGGATTAGGAGTTGGAGTCGGCATAATTTCACCAACTCCGACTCAGACTCCTCGACTCCTACGTCACAGCCCTGGTTTTTACAATTCAGCTCAATTTTCAGTTTCCAATTTTGCAAATTCAACAATCAATAACTAAAGCTACATTTTCTGAAAATATTTGGAAAAACAACATCCTCCAGCGGAAAAAAAACTATCTTATTCTGAGAACTACCCACATTTATCTATCATAAACCGAGCAAGCATCATCGTCGGTATGTACCACTAGCGACATGAAACCACAACTCATATCCCACCGTGTGGAACACGTCTATTCCTATCGCTTCCGTTGCCGCCAGCATAACTGACCACCATTTCGACTGGCAGCAGCCAATTCGCTCAACCCATTCTTCATCATTGCTGGACCGAGGAGGACCGAGACGTGCTGAGTGCTATCACACTATCCATCGACACCAGTCACCGGCTGCTGCCAGCTGTGAGCGACTCAACGCCAATTCTCAGTGGGAATTCTCGCGATTCTATTAATACATAAAGCTTCGAACGACGACGACGCCGCCGCCGCCGCCGCCGCCGGTATGTTGCGTCGCGCGCCAAACATCGATGATGAGACATGCTATTGCTGCTGCTGCTGCTGCTGCCTCTCACCAGTGTGGTTAACCTGGGGATTTTGCACACATAGAAAAGTGGACAACCTTTTGGGGGTTTTGTAATAAGATCACTTTAGTTCATAACAAACTTAATCAAGTCTAGCATCAAGCACTATCTGATTTGACGTTGTATTGATAAAGTTAAAAGAGGGTGTCCACTTTTGTCGTGAACAGATCTACGGATTGTTAGTTAACAACGCTGCGCTCTCACTCTCACTGCTCACCAGGCAGCAGCCAGCGTAGAGATTAATTGCTTGGAAGTTGGAACACCAGCTGATGCTCGACGTGTGAACGTTCGGATCGTTTGGATTATGGGTATCAGTTTCAGGAATTCGGAGAATGGGAATTCAGCGGGCAACATGATACCCTAGCTGCACTATCTGTTGATCGGTTTGTGGGAGTGGATGCACGACTGCGACCTAAATTCTGGGATATTTTTAAATTTGATTTCTCATTCCCGACGGCCGCGGACAGTTTTAATCGAACTTGATTGAATTGGATCTTTCAAAGTTGTAAACTTCCGCTTCCCCCATTAGCCGCGTAAACGAACCGTCACTAAACACGTCTCATGAAATTGCTCTTAATCAGGAGCTGACCTCGTTCGTAAACTGTTACTGGTGATGACCCCGCTGCTGCCACTCCCTTTACTAGTGGAACTAAGTAGTGCTAACTTATATGACAGGCGCCAGTCAATGGTCCGGAACGCGACTTTGGCTTTGCCGTCGTTGGTCTTCTGCCATCATAACTCATTAGTTTAATCTGATTCGGCGGAGCAGGAACTGCACCCGGGGTTACTCCCGGGAGCTGTGGAATCGAAAATACCATTAAGGGAAATACTCAACTCACGTCGCAAGAAGGAATAGACGGTAGAACGACGACCGTACTAAATAGATTGTGCCCATGTTTTGGTTATTAAACTATCAGCGGGAAAAACAAACTGCTCAGTTCGTCTTAATATACTTTCGAACCTTGGATGGAATAGCGATCCGTTACAACACGTGGATGGTTTGGAAAAAAAATGAAGAATAATCGGGTGTCATAAAAATATGATCGTTAAAAAGCAGCTAAGCCTGGCATGGCAGGGTAAGCATAATAAGAGCTGGGGAGCTGGGGGCTGGCGGGGGTTAATGAGAGCTTCTTAACCTCGTGCATTTATCTTGCATCCAACCTGTAGGAGTGGCCCAAAGTGGAAGGAGGGAATAATTTGATTAGAGAGGAATGTGAGACGAAAGATTGGATAATTTTAATGACTATGACGTGCGATAATCAATTGAGGCTTTAATCGACGTGATCAAGTTATTTAACCATAAGTTGCATTATTAATGATGATGATTTAGCAGTTTGATTATATTTATAACAATTTATTTTCCATTCATTGCAGGTATTTATCAACGTTTGAAAGGTAAGTCTGAAGCGCTGCTTCATCTGTTTTGCTCAACGGCACGTGGAAATTATCGTTAAAATTTTAAAAAAATTGACAAACAAATAGTGCAAGAACATTTGATCCGTGGAATGAACTTTTTTTTTAAAGATATTACAGAAAGTGGTTTAAAGTTGAATAATATAATAACAGCAAATTAAATCGTTTAGAAATTTTACTAAAAAATGCACAAATCGTTATTAAAGTTTTTTTTTTTTAAATTGGCCATTTATAAATCCAAAATCTAGAATTCAATTTTTGACATTAGAAAATCAGTTCCTTTATTACACTAGTTTACAAAACAACATAAAAAGTGTGAACTTTAGTGGTTGACCAACGTTTCTAATGCAAAATCCTACGCTGAATTCAATGCCGTGGTCAAAAAAAAAAAATTAAAGTAGAGCCATTTTTGAGATGTACAAAAATTTTGATTTTTTGAATTTTTGACAAAAGTACGATTACTAAAATGTCAATATCTTTGGAACTAGTGCACCAATTTTAAATCTTTTTTATGAAAATGAAGCTTAATAAATTTGCTATCGTTCACTTGAATATTATGTCTTAATTAAAAATTTAATTTTGAAGTCATTTAAAAATTTGCAGCATTTTTTTTTTATTTTTCCTGCGAATTTTCCATAAAAATCTTGTTTTAATCAACATTTTTAATGAGTTAAAAAGATTCAAAAAATCATTCCATAATTTATTCTTAAAGACCATTAAAAATTGGAGAAAATGAGCCTTTAATAGATGAAATTGGTTGGAAATTGTCGAAGTTATGAGCATTTCTGTAAAACACTTAAAAATGTTGCTGAAATACAACAGCTTTAGAGTTCCTTTTCTAGGTGTCGTTGTAAGCATCCAAATCGCATGTAAAGTTTTCATGGGAGATTCTTTTCTCTACATATCAATTTGATTAAGGCATATCAGGATTTAAAACCGAGTTGATAGAAAAGAAATATATTTGGGTTTTATTAAAAATGATTGAGAATCGAATGACTTTGGCTTCTGAAATTTCCTAAAAAGGTTGTGACAACACGCTGGAACGATTTCCACGCTTCTTCCTCATCTGGTGTCAAAACTGTATAGAATGCGGAATCATTGAGCAGTTTTTTGATCTGTGGGCCAACAAATACACCTTCCTTTATCTTTGTGTCAGATAAATTTGGAAATACTGATTTCAAGTACTGGCCGGCCCTTCTTTTTGCAACGCTTTGACGAAATTTTTGAATAGCCCAAGTTTTATATGTAGTGGTGGAAGTATTATGCGTTCTTTTACCACAAGAGGATCATTTTTAACGTTGTCTTTACCATTTGTGAAATTATCCCGTTTTGGCCAATCTTTTCGGACGTAGTGTTCCTTACGAGCTCGACTGTCCCATTTACACAAAAAACACATATATTTTGTGTATCCCTGTTGCAATCCAGTCAACATGGCAACCACTTTAAGATCGGAACAAATTTTCCAATTGTGTTGATTGTAATTTATCAAATTGAGCAATAGAGCCATTGATTCATACGTTTCCTTCATATTAACGGCATGAGCTAATGGCATAAAAGGTTTCTCATTCCCTTGATGCAGTAAAACGGCTTTCAAGCTCAACTTGCTGCTATCGATGAATAAACGCCATTCAGCTGGATCATATGGCTCGCCAAACTCTTCAAACAAGCCGTTTACGTCATGGCAAAAACATGCCTTGTCCTTTGTAGAATAATATTTGTCAAATTTCTTGTGACGATTCCTGCGACAAGAAATTTTGACCTCCTTGCTCAGCATGTTGTGTTCTTTCATGCGTGATGCCAGCAATTCGGATTTCTCCTTCGATAAGTCGAGATCTCGCACCAAATCATTAAATTCGGATTGTGTAAACAGTTTTGGGTTTCTTTCCAATTCCACCTCGAAGTCTTCCTCGCATTCCTCCTTGAATTCTTCCTCACTTTTTGTAACGGTCGATTCAACAGAGGGCGCTCGTTTCCGCTTTGGATAAACAGGATACGGGACCGAACTTGAATGTGGAACAGGTTTTGTCATAGAAGCCACTTGTGGATACTCAACTGTTTTGTGACGTCCTTGTTGCTTAACTTTTGTCAAGCAGAAATAACAATCCGTTGCATGACAAAACGGTCGACGCCATATGGTGGGCATGTCAAAGGACAAATAGCGACTGACAGATAACAAATAAGTGAGTTAGTAAGTAAGACATTAACACTTATCAAAAATAGATGAAGTAAGATAATGTCGATCAGGAAAGAACAAAGCACTACCATGCTGTACATAAATTGTTTATATGAAAGTTATTCAAAAAATCAATTTACCTTGCGCCTGACATCCACCTAGCCAAGCACGTTTTGCACGAACTACATAATACTTTTGGAATCCACGGTTCGTCAAAGTCTCCAGGATCAATTTTAAAATAAAGCCTGTATGCAGTTTGCAACGAAGCAGTGAAATTGACCGATTTTGTAAATATATAGTTGCCACACGCGTAACAAAACTTTTGAGGATCATTTTTACACTTGAATTCACGTTTTGTTGTATGCATCGTTAAGCAATGTTAAAGAAAGAAAGCTGTCAAATTGAGTTGGTTGCGTTAGGTTCTCGCCGAGCGGTCTCACAAACACTAGCGTAAATTATATTGTTGAAAATATCCCATTATATTTTGCGTGACAGCTGGTAGTGTTAGTGAAATGCACCGTATGCGTACACGTCCGCAGAAAGGCTTACTGGAAGTGGTGCATGAACCTAGGAGCGGGACAACGGCCAATCTTGGAACATTCAATTTCCATGATTGTACAAAAAAATTTCATAACTTCGACAATTTCCAACCGGTTTCATTTTCTCCGGTTTTGAATGGACTTTAAGAATAAATTATGGAATGATTTTTTGAATCTTTTTATCCCATTAAAAATGTTGATTAAAACAAGATTTTTATGGAAAAATCGCAGGAAAAATAAAACAAAAATGCTGTAAATTTTTAAATGACTTCAAAATTAAATTTTTAATTAAGATATAATATTCAAGTAAACGATAGCAAATTTATTAAGCTTCATTTTCATAAAAAAAGATTTAAAATTGGTGCACTAGTTTCAAAGATATTGACATTTTAGTAATCGTATTTTTGTCCAAAATTCAAAAAATCTAAATTTTTGTATATCTCAAAAATGGCTCTACTTAGATTTTTTTTACCACGGCATTGAATTCAGCGTAGGATTTTGCATTGGAAATGATCATCACCTTACCGAGTTCAAAAATCCTGTAAACTAGTGTTATCGTTGATGATGAACAGAAAGCAAACAAAGAGCATTATTTTTGCAGTATTTCCCCGCTAATTCGACAAATTTGTGGCCGGATTAGTGAGGTTTATCCAATAATCTAACTGTCAAATGCATACAAAACAATGGTACCAACCTAACACTGCAATCGGATTAACAAGAGCCGGAGTGGGGGGATACTGTTTACGCAGCTAGTACTGCATAATGTACAATTTGAGGTAATAGCTTAAATTAGTACAACGTTAGTACAACGGTGTACTTTGTACGTCTGTCCAAGACATTAAATGCAATGAAGCTAATTATGTTGAATTTTATTCAATTTGACTAATTTTCAATTTCAGTCTCTCAAACTATTTAGATACTATACTTACTCCGTAAGATAGACAAGGGAAAGTAAATATTTTTTTATTCATTCGGCCCATAGCAAGCCTTCTATGCTCAAAGCAATAACCTGAATGTTGATCAATTTCAAGAGCAAAATATAATTGAAGAAACCAAAGTATTTGTATTGCAATTTGATAAAAAGGCCTGTACTCGAAAAAAATGCACCAGACAAAAGTGATCGTTAAAAATTAATTTTAAGTCGGATTTTCTTGAAACTTTCAGGGAATGAACTTTCCATCGCTGAAAGCCCGCACCTTTCCCTTAAGACCCCTCATTACATTTTGTGCAATGGTGGAGCCGACCTTTTTGGTCACTTTCATCCATTATTTCTTCAACTCCAGCTCGTTCTTAAACACCTTGGACGATTTTCGAACTTTGGTCTTCATTATGGCCCAAAAATCTTTCCACCGGACGGAATCTCTGGTGAATTTGGGGGGTTGGCGGTTTTTGGTACAAAAACAACGTTATTGTCTCTGTACCAATCCAACGTCAATCGCGCGTAATGCCAGTATGATGCCAGGTCCGGCCAAAATAATGTCTCGTCTTCGTGGGACCGCAGGAAGGGCAACAGACGCTTCTGGAGGCACTCGGTGCGGTAAATTTCGCTGTTGATGGTACCCATTGTGATATACGGATTACTCAGTTTACCGCATTGGCATATGGCCTGCCAGAGCAAGTATTTTTTGGTGAATTTGTCCACTTTCTTCTTCCTTATGTTTTCCGGAACATCAAACCGTGATTTGGCAACGCAGCAGTTCCATTTCAAATGACGATTTTTTTTTAATTTTTTGATCGGCCTTCTACGATTATGTTGAAACTTTGCACAGTTGTTTGTTATTGTCCAACATGCCATTTTACATATTTGGTTCCCTAGTTTTGTACACGACTAACACTTGAAAACGGGCTTATACAAAAATGATACGCATCAATAGAAAAACATATATCTTGCAAACGATTTGTTTGATTGAGATGGTGTCTTGGAAGAAGTTGCGGACAAGTATTGTGCCTTTCATAAAAAATATACAATGTAAAAAAATAATCGTTTCTTCCTTTTGTGCAGCTTAAATTCAATCTGAGCACAAAAATCCAAATCGTATTTTTCACTAAATAAATTATTATTGTTTTCAAAAAAAAATAAAATTAAAATTACTCAAGTTGAATATTTTTTTTAAAATAATTTTTTTATATTTATTTTTTAGTTTAGATACAGAAATACCTACTGACACTGTGCATTTGCTGGGCAAATCATAAACAAAAAAGTTATGAATTATTTAAAATATAAGGATTTTCCAAAATACTACCAATAGTTATCGAATATCTTTAAAATA